GCAATAATACTTAGAAATAGCCTAATGTTCTTCAATGTAATAAATATTTTATTAGAATAATAGAAAAAAATGCATACAGATAACCATAGGATACACACACAGCTGGAAATTTAAGGATAAATTTCAAACTTTTCAATATGAAACAAGGTACTGGGTACATATCTCATGGAGATATATAACTAGAAATTAAATAATACAATGTAATAGTTATGAAAACAGGAATACAGGAACACAAACTAGAATTTGGTGAAACTAGAATATAAAGATTCATCCTTTGTTGCATGAAACAGTATTATGCATTTACTAGGAACACCTGTTTTCCAACTCCCCCCATCCCCTCCATTTGCAAGTGTCTGAAAAACATCACTGGTTAGCCACATATTGAACAGCAACTAGCCATTTATAACTATATATGTACAGTATATACACAGCTTGCTTATGCCAGCAGTTAGCATGTATTTTCTTCTGGATGTTATAAGCTAATTTTTATTGAATGCATATCAAGACATTTCTACTGTGTTTTCAAACTTTCATTAATCAATCCTGGTTCTCTCTCTATCTCTGTTGTAGCAATATTAGGAGATTAAAAATAAATAAATACCTTAGCTCCTTAAAAGGCAGGCTTGGCTTTATGGCAGCTGCACAGGTTCTACCATGGAACTGGAAGGCTCTCTAAAAGGTCACTAAAACACCAGTCTCTCTAAATTCACAGCTGTGTAAGTCAAATATTATCAGGCTTAATAAATTGCTAATAAAGTGCTATGAAAGGTAGCATTGGTTTTCTGTAACAGCAAGCCTGAAGAGTCTGTGTGTGTTTTCTTTTTATATACTAGGCTAGTGTATTGTCATAATCCTATCAGAATTATATAATAGTAATAGGATGCATTCATGTTGGAGCAGGTGGAAACCAGCAAGAGCTGGCTGAACAGAGAGGCTTTTGCAGCATCAGGGAGCATTATGCAATACCAGCAAACACAAACACGGGCATGGGTTTACAATATAGCATGATAGACCAAAAAAAAAGCAACATAATTTTGGGCTGCATATTTGAAAGCACCACATCACAAGGTAGGGAGGTGGCAAGAGTCCTTTACCATAAGGCCGTGGTGCAACTGCATTTTAGTAGTGCACACAGCTGGGCTCTTTGTTAGTGAAGCCAACAGGTGTTCAGAGGCCAGGAAAAAGGATCCTGAAGGTGGAAGATTAGTTACAAGTAAAGAACTTAAAGATGGTGATGTGGGGAAATTAACTTACTTAAATGTCTCTTGACTAGGAGAAAGGTTTGTAATTGTACATGGAAATAAAATGGAGAGCCACCTTTGAAAACATCTCTCAAGAGAAGCCACAGAGGCCCTGCCTCTTGGACACCCCACCAGGGACAGTGCAAAACTAGCATTTCTCCTCTGGCTCTTCTCTATCTTCTATTTTTTTTTTAGCTTTAGAATTAATTATGTAAAGGGAAGCAGGCAAAATTACCCATATCTACTTGATAATGACACTAATTTTTAAGACCTGCCAGTTGGTGCACACTTTGTCATCAAATTGCAACAGATGTCTCTGATTTCCTTCCTCTGCACGTGGATGGCAGAACCCGCCGTAACGCAGCCCTGCCGCGCGCTCCGCAGCCACAGGGCCACTGCTTTCGCTCCAGCTTCTTGCTGTTATTGGAAGTGTTATGTAAACTCCTTTGGTTCAAGTATTAAGGCATTTTTTAGATTCCTTTTTAAAGGATTTGCTAAACTTTACATGATATTTTTATTTTAACCTACAGTGAAATATAAAGAATTTAAAAACACATCAGAATAGAAGAAAAAACACATGCATTAGCCACTGCATTCTTTTTTAAAAAGCACTTTTCTGTGATATTTTTTTTTTCTGTGAATGAAAATGTATCATCACAACACTGAGTTAAGAGTCAAGAAAAATATTGTTGGCAGGGCGCTGTATATGTTGAAGATATTCCAGACTGATGGACAAGAACCTCTTGCATCCATACCTGTGACAAATGAAAAAGGTAAAGATTAAATGAAATCAAGAATAGCTGCTGAACAAAATTATTACTCTTATGAAATGCCAAATACTGATTGTAAGAAAAAAAATATAAATTTTTAATTTTGATATGCAATGAAATATGCATAAAAGTATGCTAAATATTTTTTGAAATTTAACCACTGAAAGAATATAAATAATCTTTAAACTAAAAAGCAAAAATGTAATATTTTCAATACTCATTTACATGGTAATTTAGCAGTGCAATAGAATGAAGTTTGTCATGTGTAAGGACATGAAGACTGTTAATTGCTTTTTTTATTAACTTATTACCATTCAGCATTCAAGCATTAATTTATTCTTCCTCCCATCAATGTATTCAGTTCTGGGTGTCAGGTGCAAAGCTAGTCCACCCTCAGTACGCTACGGCAAAGTGATGATGGAGTCATCTCTCGCTCTTTTTTTTTTTTTTTTTTGTGAGGGAGTGTTTGCGTATAGGCATATATATGTATTTATAGGCAGTCATGCCACTTAGTTACTTAGTTCTGTTGATAAAGCAATTTAATGTTAATTGTTCCTCAACGCTTTATTTCACCTGTGCTGCCAAACAGGAACGTCCTTGGAATTTTCAGGCATGTTTAAATTAAGCTTAGAGATGCTGAACCGTTGCTGTACCACTAACCTCGCAGGGCCTTGGTCCCCCTTGCCCCAAGGCGGCGGCTCTCGCCTGCCTTCCCTCAGCACAACCTTCCTCCTTGCTGCTGGAGGGCTGGGTGCTTGCCAGGTGTTGCCCGGGACATCTGCTCACTCCCTCCATTTATGTTTTGACCACCCTCCCAAAGCACTTGGCTTTGTCCAGCTTGCTCCCCTCCACCTCAGAACCCCATCACACTTTGTCTTTAGCCTTGGTGCCGAGAACATAAGACCATCTCTAAATAGATAGAATCATAGAACCACTCTGGTTAGATTACCTAAAGCACAGAGCTGAACAGCAGATGTTTCGGGTTCTACTGCTGTACTGACACATTAGGCAAGACCCATTTCCCCCCCATGCTTGTTTTCTCCTTGTCCTTTTATTTCCATGCTCAGTATTGAGGAGGTTCTGGTACTGGCCAAAGACTCTATCCATACACATTGCAGAATAGTAACAATTCAGTGTCAACATACTAGCGAGTTTGGGAATCAGGATCTGATCGCTGCTTGTGCCATCTCCACCATCAGTTGTTGCTTTTACTTCTATAATGTAATCTTCATTAAACTGGAGCAAAAGTTCAGCTGTTGTCTTGTCTGTGTTCAGCACGTTCATATTATTCTGACTGTTAGTCCTGTAAAAAACCTACAATGGAAGCAAACAGCACTTTTTTTTGTTTGCAATGCTGTATTTGGGAAACCTGAAAATGTTGTAGGAGACAAAGTATTCAAATTGAAACTGTACATAGTATGTTTTTAATTTGCCATCCTGCTATGAAACTAGGTGGTTTATCTGGGCTGTGAACTTGTATCCCTTGCCAGCATTATTATCCAGAGCACTGCACAGGCTGATCTTCAACATAAATCGTTTATACAGGACTAGGTAACGTTGAAATCTGTTCTGTACAGATCATCAAGAACCTCCTCTGCATGTCTTTAAAACATAGGTAAGATATATAGCATAGTTAGAGAAATACCTGCATATCTGTGTACTGTTTAGAATAGAGATTACAATGTAATTTCAAGATAATGTGCATGTAGGTAATGAAAAAAGGAAAGCGGTAAGACAAGCAGATTGGTATGTGGTAACAAGAAGTATGCTAGGCCAGGAATGGAAATGCTTTCCATCAGTCAGCTACATTTTGGGTTACTTTTTTTCCATTCCAATATTATACATTTGGATATCTGGGATTCCATGAGCTGACAGCAAAGGCTTTGTTTGCATAAAGAGAGGGGTCATGGTATAGGGACACAGTTTGAGAGTTATCACAACAGCACCATGTAAACTTAAAAACTACAGACACTACAGAAATGTTTTAGGCAAGATATTGTTCAGCCCTTAATCAAGACTTATGGGAAGGAGAGAAAAAAAAAAAGAGAAAAGAAAAAAAAAAAAAAAACAGCAGGTGTCTGAGTTGCTAAACTCATTGTCTTGCAAATAGAAAGAGTCCAGTAGAGCACGCACTGCTTTCAGATGTTCTGCCGGCCTGTTCTCACCTTATATCCAGTTACCTCAGATTCATTCTCCATAGCTCTTACTTCCTCCCAGTTGAGAATAACTCTGGAGTCTGTAACATTCCATACAAGATTTCCTGGTGGTTGACTCGGTGCTTAAAATATGGAGTAAAAGCATGAGTTTAGCTTAATTGACATTAATGATTTATTCTGCAGTAGCAAATAATAGTTCAGGTAATTGGCTGTCATTACATGTTGGATATAAAAGCAACTCAAATACAGCATTGTCATTTGTACACTTTATGGTTCAGAGACTAAATTGGAAAAAGAGAAGGAAGGAAAACTAGAATGGCACATAATACAACTTCAGAAATAACATTTATATGTTGATGGGCTTTCATTAAATACAGCTGAATAAAAGTATGTCTTAGGACACAGGTGATCAATTAGAACATACTCCAATGAAACCAGTGATGATAACAGACAATTTCTATCTTTAACACAGTGTCAAGAATAAGCAAATATTTCACAATGAATTGTTTGTCATTCACATTTAGTATTCTCAGTGAACATTCAAACCTATATGCTGCTCTGACTTACTTTAATGTGTTTGTTATGCAAAAATGTTTGACATTTTTTTCCCCTTCTTTTTAACTCCAGACATGATTTTAGAATGCAAGCTGTACCACTGCAATTACAGCTGCAGCAGTACTGGGTTTCTACCAGGTAAAGCTCTTCCTTGCTCTTGAATGTTCATTAACCATTTGAGGCCATCAGTTTCAAAAAGAGGTGGACACCCTTGGCTGTCCCCTTACTACACCTTGGAACTGCAGAGCTTTCAGGAAAGAAGATGAGTACAAACCTCTTAAGAGGTCTCAGGTTGGTTTCCCACATGGGTCATTGAGAGACACAATCAACTATTAAAATCTTCCTAAACATGTTGAGGAAAACAATTTACTGTTGCTGTCACCTAGTGGAGGCAAGCGCTGCTGAGGTGGCCAGCTCTGAGCTGTGGTGTAAGCTCCAGCAGTAAACAGTGCAAGTGGCTTTGAAACAGCCTGAAGAACTCCTGAAGAACTCTGAAGAACTCCTCTACACAGGTAGCTCCCTAATTTCTATTCATGAGCTGTCAGAAGAATTCTAAATTATTCACAAATCTTGCTTTCATGAATTGCAAATTCACAACTATTCAAACTATTTATATTTTTGTGAGTTGCCTTGTTCTATCTACTAAATAGAATTAAACCTCATATACAGTAATCAGTTTTAATAAATTTAAGGGATGATTGTCAGATGCATTTGTTTTATTTGTGAGAATTAAGTAGTATATGAGCATACAAAAAAGTAGTTTCTACTTAGCTATTAAGGCTGATTTTGAGAAGAATCATCTACAACTTATGACATCTGAGAAAAAGGAAGAGTAATTATATATTAAAAACTATAAGCTTCTGTCTACCACTTGACTCATAGAAACGATTTAGAAGCCTCCAGTTTGCTGTTACTAGTTACCAGAAATGCCTAGTAATTTTCAGTGATCAAAACAGCAAAACTTAATTCATAAAGACCAGATGCAAAGCCACCAAGTTGCCCGAGTACATAGCCAGTCCAAAGTATGCAAACAGCTGCAGTAATTCACTGAGCCTACCCAGATGTTAACTGCTTAAAGTCACTCCTATGCAGAGAGTATGTCTCTCCATTAGAAGCTATGGTCAGAATATACTGCTAAGTTCCAAGACCTCCTCACTATTAAATAAGGGTATCATCTTGCCTTATAAACTTAGGTAATTCTTTTACAGTTATTTGCAATTACATGGAACTTAATATTGTATAAAATAAAGCTATGTTTGCAATTTTTAAGAAATTTTTGAATTCATAAACATGAATATGCAATTATAAATATAAAAGTAATGATATTTAGTGGTCAAAGACAAAAACTGAATGTTTAGACCTGAAACAGGCTGCAAAGCCTTATATTTCTTATAAGGTTAATAGTTACTAATGAGTGTCCTGTAGAATGTGTGGGCAAATATAAATGTGTAAATACATGCAAAAATTCCTTCACAGCAAGAAATACATCAAAAGCAGTTATGTTTTGGAAGCTAAAGTAGAAATTAAACTGGTTAAAATCCACTCATTTGAATGAAAAAATAGCTTACCCCTCCATCCCCCTTTTCAATTCTGGACATCTTTAAATCAGTTCTCAAAAGAAACAAGGAATAAAGGATGTGAGGTTTCTTCACCTAAGAGGCATGTTTCGTAAGCTCAAACTCAAACAACAAAAATCCAGTCTGAAATTAAAGTTTCCTTTATCAGTACTAAGTTCTCAATTCTGACTGGAAAAGTTAGGTTTTAATTTGCTCTAATGTCCACTACAATGGTACAGAAAATTTTTTATCTTCATTAGTCTAGTAACAAAATACTCAAGTAGCACAATTTTTGAAAATGTCCTTAGGTTGCACTGGAGTGCTTTTGTCTTGTTTATTCACAAGCAAAAGATGTATGGGTTTAGTGCAACTATTATGGGTTTTTTTTTTTTTTTTTCCTTTTGACTGACCCCAGGTAGCAGCGGGATCGCTCCAGGGCCTGCCCCTTCTGCATGGCTCTGCCAGCGAGCTGCGGTGCTCGTCCCGCTCCGGTTTAGCCGTGCGGAGCAGCCCTGCCGAGCCCAGCACCAGGAATGCTCTTCATCACAGGTCAGACATAAGTTGCACACAAGGAGTTACTTCATGTGCACCAGTTCACAGTAACCTGTATGCCTATAATACATCTAACCTTTAGCAAATATAAGTTAATCTGTGTTGGTTTAGTCCTCACTGACAGTGGCACTTCTTTCTGCATATATTCATTTCTAATAAGCTGACTTGTTTCCTAGTTCTGGTGATAGGGCTGCTTTTAGTAGGAGAGATTTTGCTCTTTCATACAGATTCAATTTTGCATTCTTGTGAGTCTGACAGAAATGCCTCAAGATTTATGACCCTTATTCTCAGTTGTATTACAATGCAAGCATCTACTAAAAATATTTCCATTTGTAGAAATTAGTGCAGCCTTTGAGAATCTGTTCTCCAGCTTAATTTCTCTTTTTTCAATAGTCAAGTGGGCTCTTGAGTAATTTGTTCAAGGAGAAACAATGGACATGAGTGATTATTTTGCAGGAAGTATGAGTAACATTCCACTTCATGCCCTAGAGAACTTATAAATATGTTATAGAACCTTGAAAAATTCAGCAAGTCACTGTTTCTCCTTCCAAATAACAGAAAGCTTTCTTCTAACAGAAGAAAGTCACACCTGACTTTTTAAAAGTCTTCTAGTTCACCAGAAGAATGCTAAAGGCTCTGTGCAGAAATGAGGTATCTTGCTTCAGGTCCAGTAGTGTATTCGAATTTTGTTAATCATCCTACAGAGGTAGCAGAGGACTGAAATTAAAAGATCCAAGCTTGGTTTTTAACTGTGTGACTGTTCTAGTCTATATGAAAATTTTGGTCATTTATGCATACTGTGACTCCTGGTTAAAAAAAAAAAAAACAAAACTATTTTTCATTTGCTTGCAAGTGCTAAAACATTATGGTTCTCCCCGCTTTAAATTCATGATACTTACGTGTCTTTTTTGTGGTAACATTTACGGTGGCACTAAAGGGACCTGCTCCAGCACTGTTATAAGCACGGACAGCTGTGTAGTATGCTACGTTGCTCTTCAAACCTGTTATTCTTATTGATGTCTCATTGCCTACAGCTTTTACTCTGTTTGAAGATTCTTCTTTTCCACCATTATTCCAGTACCTAACCTGGTAGATGATAAAAAAAAAAAAAATAAAAATAATAAAAAAAACATTTAAAATTCTTTTGCTATGCAATGTTCACCCACAGCATTGCATTTAACTCCTTTAAGTGCATTTTTTTCCCCAGCTGAAAAAGCTAGAAATACATTAAAATTTTAGGAATATGTATGCTACATAAATAAAATTACTATTTATCTGTCATACTTGCTGCTTTTTCTTTGTGTGACTTCTTTAGAAAAAAAGGAAACAAATATCAGATGTTGCTTGAATTAATAAAAATGACAATAAGAGGAAAAGCATTATTTCATCTACAAAGAAAACAAGTTAAACTCATTAGAAAAAAACTGCATCTTACAAAATAGTTTCTTTGCAGGTAAATGTAATCAGAAAAAGTATCTGTTTGAAAATACTGTTAGATAGAGCCATGACTGTCATCACAGGAACTAAAACACAATTTCATTCTGTGGTGTTCTTCACTGCCAAAGATAGAAGAAAAGATTCTTTCTCTGGATAAACATGGGCCAGAAAGACAGCAAGAAAGGTGTGGTAGTAATCTCTGTATATTAGGCATTTCCTGAGTCCATTAATAAAGACAGCTATTCTTCAAATTTGAAATGTTTTTAAATGAAAAAGTATTTTAACAATATCTGTTTTTAAACAGAATTTGGATGTTGTGACAAAGCTTCCTCCATCTCATGGACTCTGCAAATAACTGGACACTGTCTGCCTTGGTATCCCAAAAATAGTTCTGCCCAAAGCACTAAATGCTGACATCAAATTTAAGATAAAGTAGCTAAAATTTTCTCTCAAGAGAGGAAAATGCTATAATAAGCAATGTTGCAAATACTAATGCAAGTGAGGCCAGGACAGTATGACAAGGACAGTCTGAGGATCCCTCTTACAGTTTTAGCAAGGAGATAATGATGCCCCAAGCAAAACTGGCTGTGCAGGGTGGGTTCTGGCCCAGATCTCATTCAGTGCTGCTTCCAGATGGAATACAGCAAACACAGGATCAGACACATGTGTTATTTCTTTAGCTTGGCCACTCAAAATAAAGTGATTCTGAAACAATGTAGGTCTAATCCCCTGTAGGCTGCTCTTGTGAGCCCACTAATTCCCTGACTTCTCACCTTTCCTTTCAGGTTTTGTGGAGTCACCTGAGATGGATTTTTTTTTTTTAAAGCATCATTTTCAGATGAATGGGAGTCATCTACATGAAAGTTATGCATGTAAACATAATCATAGCAGGTCATGGTCCTTTACAACAGGAAATGCATATTAGATGGGTTTACCTCATATCCCAGTAACCTTCCACTACTCATCTTCCACGGAATGGCATTCCAGGAAACTTCAATGACTGAGCATGACAGACTGGTTGCAGATACACCCAAGGGTGCTATGGTAGGTTCTGTAGTCGAAAATCAATAAAAAAGATCAGTAGCACTGGTGACTGTGGAAATAAATATGCTCCTATTTAAAATAATCCGATTTCTATTAACAGCTGCTGTACTCTTGTGTGGAAAAGCTCATGCTGAAATACTTGGTGAGAACTCAAACACATACCTTCTTCAGCTGAAAACACTGTGGTGACTGAACTGAATGGCCCTTCTCCTTTGTTGTTATATACACCAACTTTGACTTCATATGGTGAAAACGGTAAGATGCTTTCATTTCTAAAGACATATCTTGGTGTATCAGGAGATGTGACTACAGTCTGGATCCATGTTGTGGTGCCAAAGGGGCGGAAAGCAACAACATAGCCAAATCCTTCTCCATTTTGTAACTCTTCAGGAATGGGCTGTGTGAAAAACAACAGATGTCTGTCATGTTATATATACAGCATGGAGACAGGAAGAAGGTACTAAAAGGCTCACATACGTGACCATCAGTGGGTTCTAGTACATCAGTGGGCTTATTCTATCAACAAATTAACTCTGGTACACTACAACAAAATATGTTCTCTTCATCCCACCTTAAGGCTTGCATTTTATGCATGCCTTCATCAAGAAGAGATCTGGTATATTGCTTGTTTTCCAGCAAGTATACTGGTTTAAGACACTCTTCAGTAAATACATATTATTTTTTTCAATTTTTGGTCTGAATTTATAGTTCAGAAAAAAAATAAATGCTTGCTTAGTCAATTGTTGTAGACACCAAAACTACTTTAGCACAGTGGCTTAAAACTATACTTATCTTACCACAGAGTTGTCATGCTAGTAATATTTCATTAACATTTTAAAAGTCATTAAAATGGATATATGCCATAAAGTAATATCTGGGCTTTTTTTTTTTTTTTTTTTTTTGAGTAGCTAGCACATGAGTCCAGAGTTAATGGCAATAAAATACCAACTGCAAAGTTTCATTGAAAAGCATAATTCTGTGTCTCAACGTTTGAACAATAACACTTCCATTTCCCCAGCCCGCACCCCTCTTGAGCTTAACAGTTGTTTGACAATAGAAGCAATTTTAGTCAAACTAACGATATTTCCTATGGATTGCAGTCTAGCACAGTAACAAATGAAAGTGAAAGAGGGAAGGCAAACGTGCATAGCTCACATTACAGAATGTTACCGAGCACATATACATCCTAGATGAGAAGCTGCTGCAGCCAGGGAAATTCATCTTTTAAGAAGAGTTTGAATGAAAACAATCATTCTCTGAAGAAAATTGCTTGCCAGAAAACTTACATCCCATGTTATGACCAGTTCAGACCTGCTGCCTCCTCCCCCACTGACTTCAGATGGGGGAATTTCAGGAACTGTGAAAAAGAAATGTATAATTGTCTACACTGTGCAGATAAAAGAGACAACATTATATAACATCACCCTTTCCCTCTGAAGCTAACCCAGGTGTATAGCTGCAGTCTGACCTGTTCTGCACATCAAGGCAAGGCCTTTGGAAGCTCAGGCAAGTTTTCAATAGAACTAACTTGTGCAGATACATTGGGCAATGTCCTTATTCCCAGTAACTGCTGGTGAGGACAGGTTGTTACATGTGTTACAAGGAAAGTAAACCCTGATCAAACATGAGGAAGGAATAAACCCCCTGGCCCCTCTCCATCCATTGGCATCTTCAGACTCTACCGTACTTACTGAACAGACTGAATTTTACCATATAGTTTAAAAGTATTTTAAATATTTGGCTTTTGAGACCTGTGCAGTAATGCTTGCAAAGGCCAATAGTATTTGAACACACTATATATATAGATAGATAGATAGACAGATAGATAAAGACTTCTGAATTAAAAACAAATAAGGAAACCCACTAACCTGCCTCTTCAGTTCTTACTTTTTTGGAGGGCAAACTAGGTTCTCCACCTCCAACTTTATTACTGGCAACTACACGAAATTCATATTCAACCCAAGGATTTAAGTCCACTACAGTGGTTGTAAATGTTTTTCCATCAATCATATCAGGAACTGTTAAGGAAAAAAAAAAAAAAAAAAAAAAAAAAAAAAAAGAGGGACAGATAGAAAAATTAAGAACATGTTACATGTTAACATGGTTAAAAGCATTTGAAAGAAGAATTCTCTTCTACCTGTTGTGACTCTCTGCCAGCCAACTGAAAAGGGTGTTCTTGCTTGTATGGTGTAGGTGGTTACTGGGCTGTGATTATCTGTGCCTTCTTGCCAGGAGATCTGAGCTGTAGTATCAGTTATTTCATCCACTTTCACGTGTTCAGGGGGCCCAGGTGAGCCTAGAATCAGATTGAAAAGCAGGTGGTGGTGCTTTGTAAGGAAGAGCAGCACTCTGGAAATAACTAACATAGCACCATGCATTAGGAAGGAAGAAAACCAGCTTGGAATAAGAACCTAAGATAAACTATGAAATATTAATTCTGCACCATGACAGATAACAGGCTTTGGGGCTTTTGTTTTTGGTTTTTTTTGGGGGGTTGGGGGGAGGTGCTTTTTTCTCCATGATCTCTCTTTCCTAATTGAGTTCTTTTACTTTAGTCCTTGCTGTCCTCTTTTAATCTACTAATAGATCTGTATAGCCTGCCAACCTGTTATCTGCAGCTCTTTTCCTCTATGATGCGCTGTAGCATCTGATCAGCTCCCAGAACAGCAGTTCTCTCAGGCGAGCTTTCTGCCTCACTCTGGAAAATCCGGAGGCTGTGCATCCTAGCAAAAATGCTGGGTGTGTGTCTGTACCAGCAAAGGAGCAAAACACTCAACAGTGCATAAAAAGCATCCAAACAGTGGTATGTTATCACAGTCAGTGTTGTACAGCAATACATCATATCCATAATACATAAAATGTATTATCCAAAGAGATACCTGTCCTATTTTGAAATATATTGAAAAAATGCTGATTTCATAATGTGCTCTAGTGGATTATAGCTTGCACTACATTTAGCTGTATAATTAAGTACTGAAAGCTACAGTTCAAACTTAACAGCTCTAATTTCAGTTTTGAAGAAAAATAAATATCCCTCATTACATAAAATTGAATTTGACGCTGGGACACAGGCTTCCATAAGCACTGGCAGCAGCTGCCCATTTCACAGGGAGGATAGTGGATCAAGGAGCATCAAACGCTTTTATTTAGCAGAGGCAGAATTCCTAACCGTCTCACAGCAGCTGCCAGTACTGAGATCACTCTCATCAGTGACTTGAGGAACTGCCAGTGGGAGAAAGTGTGAAGTCAAGATTTGTTACATTCTTCATCTCTCCATTTTTCTGGGAAAAAGTAAGCTTCAGGCACACATGGAGAAAAAATGTGTTAAAATTCTCCCTAATTGCATGACAGAATCATATAGTTGAAATCAGAGATAGAATGGTTTAGTAATCTCTAACATGAGCTCGTTCTTCTAATCTGCAATACACAAAATTTAGGAAATGATTCATATAACTGAGGCTGGGATTTACCTCGCACGATGAGGTCTGCTGCAGAAGACACACTATCCACTTCTGTCTTCACCATGCAAACGTATTTGCCACTGTGCTTCAGCTGGATGTTTCTAATCATTAGATCGCCTGATGCACTCTGTCAAGATACAGAGTTCTCACTAAAATTCAATTGACCCGTCTTGTAATTTGAGTCCATTGTTTATAAATGGAAAAAACAGTCAAAATAAGTTAGAGAAAGGGGCTCAAAAGTTTCATTGGCACACAGATTCAGGATAACAAGTTATTATATAATCTTGTGCTGCATGCTAACTGTAAGCATGTTACTAATACAAACGGGTCCTGATACACACACTTACACAATTGTTTTTTTTTTTTTTTATTTTTAATATGAGAGATAAGCAATAACATGGTTACCTCATCCTAGAAATATACCTATTGACTGCCATTATGAAGCATGAAAAAGCTGGTACCCTGTGGCACACTATGTGAAAGCTCTAAGAAAGAGAAAATGTGGTTACTATGGCTGCAATCCGATTTGCTGTCTAAACAGAATTTAGAAATTCTAGCTGTTACAGGCTGCTAAGGAGTTCAAGTATGCAAATGATAAATTTGAATTTGGCCTGGGGCTTTACAAATAAAAAGCAAAAAGGCACAGTGCAAGGTGAACTGCACATCTGGAAGAGTTTACTGAAATCCCTTAACTTTCCAAGCATGCTGCAAAGTTAATTTTCTAGAAAAGTAGAAATTCACTTGAAGACAGAATCCTATTTAGGAGCCATGTTCTACATTAATTTGTTTTAGCAGACTACATTTAAAACATCTAGACAGTAGGGGATCATCAAACAGAATTATTATTACTTGAAAGAGAAGCCTGCCTCCCCTTGGCCTGAGAAGCCTAAGTGGGCTAGACCACTACTTGTGGGTTTTTTTTTTTTCCTTTATTTTTTTTTTTTACACTGGAAGTGAAGAACACGCTGTTACAGAGTTAGCTCTAATATCCATTAAGTAACATTAGCAAAATATATGGCCACTGAAATAGTAACAGATGGAAATTTTTCTTGGCTACTTTTGGGAAGGAATCCCAAAGTACTTGGGAAAATAGAGAAACCTGCAGCAGCAGAGAGCTGCAGTGCAGAAGGCACTCTGGCCCTCATTGCTCTGCAGACTGTTGGCCCCAGGCACATTTTTGCCCAGTCAGATTAAATCTTTGCCAGTGTGGACCAGTCCGGGTGACAGCAAGGTCACTCAGCTTTCTCCATGCTACACAGAATTCAGATAAAGAGTAGTCCACATGGTATGAACATCTGTAACTGGCACTGAAATAGCTTTTACTTTTCCCAACTGTGTGACTACTTCAGCCATTGCTGGCCTGCCTGAACAGGAGATGCTAGAAGCAGTTATGAGCCAATCTGTTCAAAATTTTGGAAAATGCTTTGCCATACTCTTCATATAAATCATCTAACAACAACAACAAAAAAGGCAGTTAAATAGTGCCATATCCTGGATTTTTATAACCATCTGGAAGACCAGGTGATGGTCCCAGAACAGTTCCATTAGCTACCGCATGTTGGTGGCTTCAAGGCAAGTTACGTCCTTTAAGAACGTGACAGGGACTCCCAAGACATCGTTACACAGCCCTCACCTCAACGAGGCAATCCATCCATTGAGGAGTCATTTACCATGTTTACCACCAACAGAGCTGAAGTGATTTTGCTTGAGCAAATAAGCACTGCAGCTATCGGAAGGCTTATAATGTATTTATGCTGTTTTCCTTACTTACCTTGAACTCTTATTTCCAGACGA